AAATACTAGCACCTTCAATAAAAAAAATAATGTGTCCCATATCTTTATATGACTCCGCAAAAACTCAAAGATGCCGGCTTCTTTCATAGCATTGCCACCGACCGCTGTCGGGTTTCCTCGGAATGAAACCTACGTCGCTGGGCGACAACTAAAATCCAGTTAATATTTTATTATAATGGATCCTGACGAATAAATGAATTTCATAAATGAATGAATTTTATAAATGAATGGTTTTTGCTGCCGAATTACTAGAATACAGTATTTCAAGGCAGATGACGCATCTATTCGATAATTTTTATTCGAATAGTTTTCAACGAATGTTTTTTTACTAGCTATCGAATTATTCGAATGAATTGCAACTATCGAATGTTTCGATAGTATTCATTCGATAGTTCCCACTACTAGTTATTAGGCCGTCGTCGGTTAGAATTGCTTCCTGATAATATATTTTTTCAAAATAGCAGATACCGAGATATGAATTTTTCTTTCTTAAAATAAAGGAAAAGATAGAAAACTGAGAGACGAAGGACCTTACCTTTAAAATTAAGAGCTCGTACTTTCAGAGAGAATTTTTAGAGAATTTTTTTGAGGTGTTTACCAATCTTTTTTTCAGATTATAAGTGAAAAAAAAGACCCACCCTAGTATATATATTTTATAAAATTGCAATAATTATAAACAAAACGAACCGTTTCGTAGAAATTAATACATATAGGTAGAAAGAAAGTCGTCTATAGCACAGTCGAGTATTATATCAGCTTAAGTCGATGTTCCCAGACACTAAACCGTAAACAAACAAGACGAACTATTAAAAGCATTAACAATATAAACTCGTTGACATCATATGTTTGTTCGTGCGGAGAGCACTGGCGCCTAGTCTAGCCCGTAATTAGCACAAATAACGAACCCGAAGGCATAAACAGCCGCTACACAGCGTTTCAAAGCCGAATAACAACGAAATTTAGATATATACATTATATCGAAAACGGTATTGGAATGGGTCGTTGGCAACCGCGAAAATAAAGAAAATAATAAATGTAGTACAGTCCAAAGAATTGTTGAACTCTGCACAGGGAATCGTGTATTATATAGTCTATAAAATGAATAACTTTGAATTTTGACCGTTATTTTTTACCAATATGGCAAATATAAAATCCCTCTGTCACAAAAGTTACTGATATTCTTTAAAATGAGTACCTGAACGAATCAGATAGGTAACTCTTTTTACTTTCGTGAAATAGAAAAGGAAAATAATAAAACAAGTGACAGTTCTTCCTCTTCTTGCAAAAATCAACCCGAAATGTCATAATTGCCAAAAGTAAAATGTCATCAGCGTTTGACATTTCTAAATATCAAACCAATGCCGTCTCTAATAGAACAGCCACGGAGCGAGATTTATGACGTCACGCTAATTAGATACTAAGGATTAATAAATATGTTGTAAAATACATGGAAAACATAATTATTCCTCGTATTTTTGGTTTGTATTTTAAAAATGATATAGTTTACATGAAATATATATAATATACAGTTAATAAATACAATATATATACCTCTTTATAGTAATAAATACTTTGGCAAATAAATTATAAACCATACAAATGCAGCAAATGTTTTACAATATACAAATAATGAATAGGTACGTAAGATAATGGGTAAAATGTAAAATATATTTTAAATTTTGGTGTTTGAAAATCGATCTAATTTAACAAAAAACATTCAATATCTACTAATAGTGATGTATATTATTTGCATTCACAAAATTTATATGTATATTTTGCAAGTATCAATGTTCGAAAAATTATATTTGCAAATAATACAATATCATAGAAAAAAGGCGTCAGCGATGGCTATAAAATAAAGATCGCTGTCATTTTATATGTAAAATTATTCTAAAATTTTTGATTTTCTTGGAATTTAGGTTAGGATGGAGTACGATTTCAGCCATAGTCAATGTAGATAGTTAGTGTTAAGAATAATAATTTTAAAAAATAAACAAAATATTAAAAATAAACAAAGACAATAAATAATAATGAATTAATATTATTAAAAAAGTTATTAACTGTATATTATGTATATTTCATGTAAACTATATCAGTTTTAAAATACGAGGAAATTTTTTCCATGTATTCTACAACATATTTATTAATCCGTAGTATTTAACTAGCGTGACGTCATAAATCTCACTCCGGGGCTGTTCTATTAGAGACGGCATTGCGTCAGCATGGCCGCAAGTTGCTAACCTAATAAAATTAACACTAGAAAAGCGCGCGGGAACTGTCAAATTCAAAGTTATTCGTTTCACAGACTATAGTAAAGTTTATTTAGGTGTGTTTGTTGGTATAAAGCTGAAACATTATTAGTCTAGGATGTTTTTAAACAATATAATTTAATGAGGATTCTCATCCTATCGACAATGTTTCTTTTTATACAGGGTTGTTCACCACATACGACATGGAGTATTGTAGCTAAACGACTAGATTATGAATATTTAATCTGTGAGTTTTTTCACAGCTTCAAGAAACTATAGACCTGAGTATATGGTTTTAAAAAATGTCTATAAATGTCAACAGGATACCTCCACGCGTTCCCGAGATAAAGGGTCTCGACCATAGACTTAAAATAAAATATAGACTACACTATTTACATCTCAACGCGGATAAACAACCTTTTTTGTACACATGTTTACTTCTGGGTACAGTCGACCGAGCCTTCCTCATCCAGCCTATGTTGTCACGTCTTTAATATTATCAATATTTTTTTTCTTGTTATACACATATATTGAGATATTAATACTACAGTTTAATAAAGTAGGTTTTAATATTCCAGAGATGTATTAAATAGTCCTTATACTACTAAATTATAAGTCGGATACTGTTTAAAAAGGATAAGTTCTTTACAATATGACAACACCGATTAGAGGCGAGGGAGCCTATTCATTCATTTATTACCTTGTAGTACGTGTCGCACGTGTGCGGTAAAGCTTTGTTGCCGCTATCTCCCCGGCTGTATTAACGCATTTTCTTAGCTTGTAGTGCTTAAGTGTTTATTTTATTGACTTTTTCTGTTCAAGAACTATAAAATATGGTTCGCCAGTGCCAAATTTGCAAGAAATTTGACTTAAATAATCCATTTAAGTCTTGAAACGACTTTTGACCGGTAGGCAACTCTCAATTTACCCATTGGGAGTCAGTGGCGTTGTTGTAGAAAGGCGCTTATTTAGATAATATTTTAGTAAAATGTAAAATCTGAATTTTTTCTCTTACATTACATTATTTACTTACTTACATTGTAACAAAATCATAATTATAACCCTGTTAATAATTAATAATGTTTTTATTAAAAATATATTCCGGTTTATTCTAAAATTATCTTCAGAATCTAAAATAACATACAAGAATTTTAAAATGATATTACATTATGAAACAATATTTTTTAATATACCGGGTCGTCTCAAAAGTGGCTCAACCCTATGACTTTTTTTTATTTTTTCAGATAAAAAAAAACAGATTTGTATGTTAGTAGGTATATGACATAAATTAGATTTATTGACGTATTCAATTATTTCTTGATCTCTTCCTGTTTCACCGAAATGATTACATCTTTTGATTTTTAAAGGCACCCTCGGTATATTGCTACTTTATTCGATAAAAAATGACACTCTGAATAGAATGACATATCATATGTCAACTTTTGACATTGTCGCTTAAAAACATATCCTATTTTAAATTTCAATCCAGTTTTTTTCAACCCACTAAGTTTTAATCAAGGAGCTGGAGCTGTTTTAATCAAGGAGGTTTCGTGTCTTGTCTAGGCCGGTTAAAAGATGTACAAATCGTATTTTTAATCATACATATGTCCATTTTTTCAAATGGAACAAGGGTGACTCATTAGCATATTTAGAAAAAGCATTTTTTTATGAATATATTGATACCACACACTTGGTATTTCGAGTCAAATTGTCGTTATGAACCGCGTGTTACAATTACAATTAAACCATATGCGAAAATGTCAAAAGTTGACATATGATATTTCATTCTATTCAGAGTGTCATTTTCTATCGAATAAAGTAGAAATATACCGAGGGTGCCGTTTAAAAATTAAAAGTTATAGTCATTTCCGGTGACACAGGAAGTGACCAAAAACAATTGAATGCGTCAATCAATCCTAATTTATTTCATATACTAACATACTAAATCTTGTTTTTTTATTTGAAAATATAAAAAAATTATGGGGATGAGCCACTTTTGAGCCGCACCCGGTATAATAAAGACAGTACCGAGTTAAATAAATGTAGTTTTTATTTTATCCACTTCCTATCACCTTCCTTGCTTTAATGGAACAGATTTATGTTTTCTCTAATTTACATAATAAGACATCACTTAACTAGAAAAAAAATTACAACAATCATTTTTTTTTCTCTCCCTGTCGCCGATTCTATTATATCTGTGGAATAGATCCGGTTTTGATTAATATTAGGGGTTGTAAATGTTTGACTAAAATTAATAATTTATTATTAATTTCAAAAATTACGTAATTTCGATTATAAAATTTCTTCTATAACGTGTATTTTATTATGTTTATCCTTTTCGGACTCTAAGACGTTTTTTCTAAACTTTTATGTAAAAAACCTGTCCTAAATCTTAATAAAATATAAAAACGTTTAAATACGATATATTTTTAATTTACTTATAGCTTCATTAAAATAAAAAAATTACCCGGCTATGATACGGAGAGTTCAGGTGTACTTGAGAAACGAAAGACAGTGTTGTGTTTCTCGGCAGAGTTCATTAACGCCAACTTATTTACGACAGAGACAACCTATCTATCGCTCGTGTCGCACTCGTTATAGCCTAAAACAATAACACAACAATAACAAGACAGTGTCTGACCGCATGTTCCAGCTATTTATGAATGAGATGCTCAGTCTATATTTTATTTTAAGTCTATGGTCTCGACGGAATCCTAAAAATGATAAAAAAAAATGAAAAATCAGACTCACCCGGTAGACAAAGGCGGCTCCAGTGGTTGGGGTTGCAGCACACGTAGACCGAGTCCAGCGCCGACCTGCACTGGGGCAGTCTGCGCAGCTCGCTGCCCTGGCGCAGGTCGTGCCAGCGCCAGAAGCGGCAACACTGCACGTGCGCCTCGCTGAACGACTTGGAGGACACCAGGATGCAGTCGCCGTCCTGGTCGCAGTCCTTCACCGCCTTCAGCAGCATCTTCATCTGGTTGTCCTAGTAAGAAGACAAAGATATACGGGGCGTTTCAAAAAACATGTGCCATCTCTCGTGGGTAAAAATAATATTTTTTCCGTAGTAACTGTTAAAATTGCCTTATATCTATCAAAAATAGTAGATAAAATAGTATTTTAACCGCAACGGTAGATTAAATGATACTTTAACAGGGAGGATAGGTTAAAAACTTGATTTCTTCTCGCACGTTTCTTAATGAGGAAGATGCATATATTTTATTTTTCGCCAGAAACTGTTCAATTTATTAGAATAAATATGTGTAAATGCAAAAAAAAACTTTTTTCTTGAAAGCAGTACCACAATTTTATAAAACGGGCCATTAAAATACTATGGATAACGCAAACGACGCCTCGCGAATTGAAACGATATTCTATTGGTCTGACGTCACCCGCCGTTCTCGTCGACGCGGGATGGCCAGCAGCAGCCAGGCGTGTTCCGTTTTTGTACGTATTTAGGTGGTGTACTAAGACATTTTTGTTCCTTTTAGCGTTGATTGAAGGAGCTTTTTATGTTTTTTTTGTGCAGTTATTATTTGTATGTGTCGTGTGTTCTGAGAATTTTTTAAGTAATGGCAGATTCCGGGTTTGTAAAAGCACAATCAGATAACTTGCCAAAAGTCGATGCTTTTATGTTGGCTGCTTTTATAAATACAAATTCCCAATTTATTGGGGCTGAATTACGAGGAAAAAAACAGAGAGGTATGTAACATTTATTCTTTGTAGTACTGAGGCATATTTAAGTATAAGTAGGTACGTACTGTTACGAACTTTTATATAGTTATAAATTAATGTTATAAACTTATTTTTCAGATCAGGTAGGGAGACTTATATGAGACTGTATGGAGATAATGCTGTAGGTTATGTAAAAGTGAAAAGAGACAAAAATATTTGTTTAGTACGTGGAAAAATAACTCCAGAGCATAGCGAGAAAAGGAAAGTTTTTTTTTATATATTGACACCCCCTTACCCTTGTTATTTTTAAAGATTGTTTTTTACGAAATTATAGTAAATAAATTGTTTATCAGTAATGAAAATATTATACAAGGTGTCCCATAAGCAAACGCCAAAATTAAGTTACTTTTTTAAGTGAAACACCCTAATTATTTTTGGATTCTTCGGAAATTTCTAGATATTCTAGATATATTTGTGTGTATATATATATATATATATATACATGTATGATATCCTATACCTATCTTCAAATGTTTACGAAATATTGACAGTTGAAAAGTGAAAAATACCTACAATTTTCTGGACCACCTTTTTTGAGACACCCTGTATAACTAGAATTAATTTTAAAAGAGAGTATATGAAAAACCATGCAACTTTTTTATTTAATGTTTTCTTCTAAAACTTGCAGTTAAGGCTGTATGTGGGTGTCAAAATATAATGAATAACCCTGTACACATTCAAATTTCATATACCTATGTAAGACAATATACATAAATAGATGAACTTACATCAAAATGATCTTCACAACAATAAATCGTAAAAATAGAGGATAATTTAACGTTTTTCTTTTCATCTCTTCTCATGGCCTTGGACCATTTTTTTCTGTTTTCGCTCATCCATTACTATTTATAAATATCACTAATTACTAATTATGTATTAATTAACACAAATAACTAAAATTTCGACTCGGATTCAACAGCGTTTAAAAGCAAACTGTGTAAAATAAACACGCGTCTGGCTCCACTCAACCAAAAGAACGGCGGGTGACGTCACAGCGGCAAGGCGCGGTAGAGAGCGTTTTTAACCGATTTCAACGATTTTTTTTTTGTTCAATTTGTAATTATATGAACTATTTTTTAAAACCATTATTTAAAAACATGCATTTTCCTCATTGTTTCCATTTTTGAAAATTTTTCTATTCCTTTTCATAAGTTATTCGGGATTTAAATGGAAGTAGTTTGGATATGGCGTTTGTTGCCTCAGCCTGAATATCTGTTGGTAATTTACTTATTTCGTTTTGAGCCATTTCTGGCTCCAATTCAATCAGCAATCGACACGAAAGAGAATTAAAAAATATTGACTCAAAACTGACAACTAAAGAGACAGCTTTATTTATTTGTCAAATTACATAGAAACCAACGCCAACCCAGCACAATATTTTTTCTACTCGTAATAAATTCCTTGAAATAATAATTTCTGAATATCTTTTAAAACGTAACTCGCTACGGGAAAAAATATTGTTTTATACACGACGAGAAGAAACCTATATCAACCCAACTTCTATCTCTTTTTAATACATTTGATTTTCCATTAAGCTGTCTACATCACTGTCTTCTCCGAACCAATGGGCACTTACCCTAGTATCCTACAGGCAGAAATCTACGCTATCGAGAGATGCGTACAACTTATCTTAGATAGGAACTATCGGAAACAAGAAATAGCCATCTTATCTGATAGTCAAGCAGCGTTAAAGGCGATCAACTCAGTATCAATCAATTCGAAATTGGCCAAAGAATGCATAGAGAAGCTGAATAAATTAGGCAAAGAAAACAAAGTCCTCCTACACTGGGTGCCTGCTCACCAAGGGATAGAAGGCAATGAAAAAGCAAATGATCTAGCTAGAAAAGGAGCGAACACTCCACTAACTGGACCAGAACCGTTCTGCTTTCCAAGTGGTAATCAACTCAAGGCGGAACTCAAAAACTTGGAAGATTCCGTCCGCAACCTGGAGTGGGAATCTTGCAACGGTCTAAGACACTCGAAGAAGTTTCTGAGGGCTTATGATTAAGAAAAATCACAGATCTTCCTGGGTTTAAGTAAGAACAATCTTCGGATTGTCACGGGGTTTTTAACAGGACACTGTCTCCTCAATTAACACCTCAGTAGATTGAAACTAAGAAGAAACGGCGAATGCAGATTCTGTGGGGAAAATGAGGAAACACAGTACACCTCATCACTGAGTGCGCCGAGACGACAACCATTCGTGCCATGAATTTTGGTACGACTGATATTGGAGATGGAGAACTACCCTCTATAAAACCGTCCCAGATACTGGCTTTTGTCAAAGCCCTGGGACTGTATGATGAGTTATGATTCAAGATAGAGGGACACAATGGATCTGTAAGGTCGAAGTGATTAACCCCCCTCCCACTCATTCTAAATTCTAAATTCTAAAATCACTGTCTTACACGTTAAAATCCAGACCACGTAGTTTCGATGGCCAGATCGGTATAAAATGATTTCTACATTATTTAAAAAAATATATAAATTTCTAATGCAAACACGTTCCTGGAAGGACACCCTGTATATGTAGGTAGGTATATTACTAATCAATAGAATAATCAATAACACTGTCATAACAAAAACATACCCACTGAACCAAAAAAAAAATGCAAAAGGAAATGAAAAAGAACAAATTTCAATCAAACAACAAAGCTATATAGACAAAATGTTATTAATAATTAATAATAATTATTCTTTGCATTCTTGCCATTCTTTTATTACATAATTACTAAAATATAATTGAATTTGAAACCGGTTAGCGCAACTTTTCTTATACACACACACACTTGAATACCGGATATATTTACATTTAAAATTAACAAAATAAAAGAATAATAAAAACAGACCTTTGTAATATTAAAGCCACCATTAATAATAAAAAAAACAGAAAACTCTTTCATCCTGTTTAAATCTTTAGCTAATTAACTAAGTCCTAATTAGTAAAACTCATTAATTAATTAACAGAGAAATACTTTCAGTGAGGCTTTTTTAAAAAAATTGGTGATATGTCGTGATTCTTTCTCGAATGCTGCTGGTCCCCGGATTGTCTTCGCAAGAGGAAAATCTTTTTTCACACCAGAACATTCATACAGTTTTTCACATCAATACATCACACATTCAGTGGCGGCTCGTGGTCATTATTGTAGGGAGGTCAATATCTAAAAATATTGCGTCGATTTCTTTAAGACGCGACCAAATTTAATTGGTTTCTTACGAGGTACTTTGCTAAAAATCCAGTCACAGTTCTTTACACAAATTTTCCAGGGTAGGATTTAAAATACACATAAATAATAATGTCACAAAAATATAAATGCATATACCGGGTGTTGCATCGTCGAGCGGGACATAGGAAATCCCATGTAAATTTTAATGGGGTCAATTATTGGCTTCCCTAATTATTTTAGAGAATAATTCTATTTAGGTTTATTGAAGAGCACTAAAACCCACATTCAAAAGAATAACTTTAGATATTTTTGATTAGCTCGTTTCGTTTACGAGTTATCGCGATTTCTTTTAAATATTTCTCCTTTCTTATGGCCCTGTATTTACTTATGAGCACCAGTCAAGGTAAAAGATAACTGTCAAATGAAGTTGTCATTTCAAAAATTTACCTATTTAGTGCTTTATTATTATTGAAAACTCATTCCTACATCGGAAATCTTAAAGATGTATTTATAAATACAAATTAATATGAATTAAAGTAAAATAAAGTAATCAATTACAAGGTTAATTATAGTATTATTACAATATTCAATAACTTATTAATTTAGGTACTATTAAATTGTTAGAACTTTAGGATTTAAGAAGATGTTCAAATCTTCCTCCATCGACTGCTAGACAATAACCCAGGCGATCATAAAATTCTCTTCTTACATTCGCTAGTTGCTATTTTTTATCCTTGTATATCCTGTTTTTTAAATGGCCCCAGAGAAAGAAATCATTTGGCGAAAGATCAGGAGACCTTGCTGGCCAATTTACTGTATGATTTAGGGCAATAACGTCTCCGTTAAAACTATTGTCTAAATATTCCCGAACAGCCAGGGTACTAGGTGCCGGGCAGCCATCCATTTAGTACCAAACTTCCTAGCGGCATCATGTAAAGCAGGTAAAATATGATTTTCGAGTAGTTCCAAATAATATTCTGCATCTGTCCGAATATCCCTGCCCAAACATTTACTTTCTGTGGATATTGCGTCCTTGTTTCGACAAAGCTGTGTTGGTTTTCTTTGTTCCAATATCGATAATTTT